CCACTTCCAGTTAAACGTTGTGATAGTTTGTTTCTTTTTTTTAAATAAATTTTTCCATATAATATGTGGCTTTTAGTGGGAAATAATATATCACGACAAAACACTTAATGTATTTAGCACAAAAAAGTTTGCTCTTTAAAGTATTACTGTTTACACATCTGATCCTTTCCAAATTATCCAAAAAATGTGTGTGAATTCATAAATGTTCTCTTCTCTAACTCTTTAAACATCAAAAGGGACCATCTTCAAAATCCAAATGCTTCTCCAGCTTTCCGCAGGATATCACAAAACTTCCTGGCAGGGACTTTTAAACAAGTTGAGAAGTTTTATAAGATAAAAATATTTTTTCAGTTGACTTGACAACCATGTACAATGTTAGTGGAGAGTTTATTTGCCCAAGGTTCTTTTCAAAATGAATTTAAACTGAGATTATTAAAATGTAGCTCAGTTGTACAGTATGAGGAGAGGTGTTGCTAATGTCCTACTTTGAGAACACTTTCTGTACAATGTGTATGACTTGGTTATGGGACTCCCTATGGAGACGTGCATTTCTGCTAACAGAGGGGAGACAATTAAAATTATTCAAACACAGTTAATCATATGCATAAATGGAGAGTTTTGATTCAGAAGGAGAAGCACTATAGCTTGGTGGATTAGAGGTCTCTCTGCTTGACCACCAGACTGGGTGGGTCTGAGTCATAGCTCTGCCATTGATCTTAACACTTACCTCAACAGTGAAGCAGAAATCATGAGAACAGAAATATTAAGGGGATATTTTGAAGATTAAATGATATCATCATCATAAATGATTAATATAGTGACTGGTGCAGATAACGGTTCACAATTAATTGTTTTATATCAAACAATAGAATCAGTACTAAGCTATGTCTGCTGATAGTTCCAGATGTTGGTAGACAATCCCTGTGCCAATTTAATGATAATCTTTTCTGTTATGAGATAAATAGCTGCAGGAAAAATACAGTTAATGGTAAAACAATGCTTGAATCACCAATTCTCTCCATGGCTATAAACTAATTTCTTACATGACAATCAGGATCCCAAAAGGAAAAAGATCATCTGGATGAGAAGTTGTAATCCTCCCAATTTGGAAAGTCATGTCACACTACTTTGGAAAATGTCCAAATTGCTAAATCTTGGAAGCAGGCCCTCTCCTTCTCTCAGATGGACACATTATTTAAGAATTTTTATTATTTCTGGAAGAGACCAATGAGACAATTAAAATTATTCAAACACAGTTAATCATATGCATAAATGGAGAGTTTTGATTCAGAAGGAGAAGCACTATAGCTTGGTGGATTAGAGGTCTCTCTGCTTGACCACCAGACTGGGTGGGTCTGAGTCATAGCTCTGCCATTGATCTTAACACTTACCTCAACAGTGAAGCAGAAATCATGAGAACAGAAATATTAAGGGGATATTTTGAAGATTAAATGATATCATCATCATAAATGATTAATATAGTGACTGGTGCAGATAACGGTTCACAATTAATTGTTTTATATCAAACAATAGAATCAGTACTAAGCTATGTCTGCTGATAGTTCCAGATGTTGGTAGACAATCCCTGTGCCAATTTAATGATAATCTTTTCTGTTATGAGATTAATAGCTGCAGGAAAAATACAGTTAATGGTAAAACAATGCTTGAATCACCAATTCTCTCCATGGCTATAAACTAATTTCTTACATGACAATCAGGATCCCAAAAGGAAAAAGATCATCTGGATGAGAAGTTGTAATCCTCCCAATTTGGAAAGTCATGTCACACTACTTTGGAAAATGTCCAAATTGCTAAATCTTGGAAGCAGGCCCTCTCCTTCTCTCAGATGGACACATTATTTAAGAATTTTTATTATTTCTGGAAGAGACCAATTGCCTTTCAAAAATAATACCATTTATGTAGGGTTTGAAAGCCTGCACCACTACAGATGGGAGAATCGAACACGTTCCCCACGGCGAGCGACTGTGGACGTCACAGTCTCCCAGCTCCGTGTGCTGCAGCCAGAGGCCCCCGTGGAGGGGAGGCGGCGGTGCTGGCTGGGACTGCATCAGAACCACACAGTCAGAAATGCATTAAGGCATCTTTAGTGATCTGTGATATTATGCCAGGTTTACAATTGTAGCAAATTTTTTTTACAATTTGCAACACTTGGCTAACAAAATTCTTGCTATTATTATTTACTTGGTTTCCCTGAAGTCTACAACTCTCACCAAAGTCAACAAATATAGCAAATTACTTTAATGATGTTTATCTCTGTTTTTTGACTAATGAGAATAAGATAAAATTTCCCCATTTACTACCCCAGTGAAAAGAATAATTATGGGTTCCCACTGTATTCCAGGCATTTTACATCATCTTCAAGTAATCTGCATGACCAATCAGGAAAGTATACTTAATAAATGAGGAAACTGAGACACGTTTATTTCTTTATTTTTGTTTAACTTGCCTCGAGTCAAATGAATAAGGGAGAGATACAGAATTCAAATCTTTGTGACTCGAATGTCTTAAATTCTATATCCAGTAACCGAACTGATCCATACCTGTTCCGTATCATCTCTTCTTTTTATTGTCTAAGTATGAAAACCATTTATCCTCCTATTTTCTCTGACAGTCATTCTATTAATATGTGTTGATACAAACATGAAAGACATTAATTAAAATATGTTAATTAATGAGAATAGGAAATTAATGTTAATTAATGAGAAATATGATTCATCATATAGTGAATTTTTCTAGCACTGAAAGCAAAAAATGACGTTCAATATATTTTTAGTTTTATTTAGACCACAGTTTTCATAGTCTTCAAAATTAGCAAGCATGGTGATTTCTTAATTCATTATTCTTAACTCATACACTAATAATTTATTACATCCATATAATTTTCTTATTTCAGAAACAAAATGTAATAGTCTTTATTCAAATACTTAATTTGCCTCAGTGAAAATATAGTTTAATAGTCTTGAATTTATTTTGATTTGAGAAACTATAGGTAGCCTAGTTGTAACTTCTCTTAGCAATTTCTATTTCAATTCTTTTATGGTGTTTTAAAATACATAATGGATATTCTCTTTATTCACAGTTTTTTATTATGAAAGACTATTTTATTAATAATCTAGTTTATTACACAATGAGAAAAGGAAGCCCTTGGCTATGCTGCCAAGCATGTACAAAACCAGGCTTTGCTCTTTGTACTTCTCAGTATTAACCCTCACTCAAAAGCAGGTATTTAATGGTCTTGTTAATGAGAATTGAGAAGAGATTATATGAAAGTTTTATTGAAATAGTAGTGATTCCACATGAAATTGGTTCCGCTTTTAAGCATGGTTAATAGATTAAGATTCTAATATGCCAGGATTTTTGAGACATGAGAACAGGCCAGGATTTTGAGACATCCCTATCCTCAAGAAATAGCAGTTAACCAGAAATGAAAACATATAATACACTGTAGAAAATGCTATAATGTCGTTCAAAAAAATCCTATGGTAGGACAAAAAGTATACACAGGTGAGGTGGAAGGAAGTGAAAGAAAATCTCATGAAAGTATTCTACAGTAATCGTGAAGATTACAGTTTATCTGTGCAAAGACATTGAAGGAGAGGCACTTTGAGAGGGATGGGGGAGAAAAAGGAATTCATCGATGCCAAAGGTGCATAATGGTTAGTCACGTGATTCCAGAGCCAGCCACCTCAGTTCAGCATCACCACTTTCTACTTCCTCACTGTATAACCTTGGGAAAGTTACTTCTTATCAGCAAAATGGACACTATAATAGTTCCTATCTCAAAAAACGGTTTAACTCAAGCTTTTAGATCCCTTTGTATGGCATATGACACATAGAAAATGCTAAATAACAATTCACTGCAAAAGAATAAGAAAAAACATACTTTTTGGAAGAATACCAATTATTAGGTATTGCTGAAAAGAAAAATGCAATAAATGACTTGGAAGAAGATGAAGAGGCAATATACCATGTTAAAGAGCTGGAAGTCACCATGTAGGTAATGGAGAAGCAGAGGAACAGCAGTCCACGTGTAGATCTCACTGTGGCATAGTAGCAGAAGAGAGGAGGATGTTGGGAAGGATTCCAGGTACAGGACCCATAATGCCATAACAATTGTCAAGACTAATATTTCATAATCCTCTTTAATAATAATAAAAGGAATTGAAAGGGGATGATAATTGAGAGAAATAATTAGAAAGTAGAATTTGTAAGGCTTGCCCCTAACACTTAATAAATAAAATAGCCTGGGTGATCATTTGGGAGAAGAAAGGATAAAGATGGCCTCAAGATTCTTGATTTGGTAGATGGCTAGCAAAGGCATTAAAAAAGAGAGCAAGAGAATACAGGAGTGAGTAGAGGTTGAAAGAGAAAAGCATGAGGACAGTTTTAGCCATAGTGCATCCGTGTAGAGTACATCCATTTAGAGATAAGTCAGATTTTTAGAATAAAGTTCCAAGTTAAAACAAGAGATTCAAGATTCACTAGAAAACACAAAGATGGCCAAGAATGTAAAGGTTTCCCAAGGGACACTTTTTATTGTAAGTGGAAGAAGATGGTCTTGCGAAGCAGGTGGGCAAAATTAATAGTTTAATATGATTTCAGATATGACAAAAGGTTGAATAAAGAATCTCCAGGCAAGAGCAAGAATCTACAGTGGTTGAATAGAAACTCCCTATTTCTAAGTGTTTTAGACATTCTACTGAGAAAAAATATATATAGATCATTTTGATAATAGTGACCTAAACATGTTATTTACTAGATTGAATGGGAAAATATTTTTTACTGAGTAAAAATATTTACCTTTAATCGAGATAACTCAATTTTGAAAGTAAATCAATCTGATCTAATTTTGTTTTGACCATTTAAACTAATTTCTCTCCCATTGATTGAAGATATTTTTGGCTGTTACTTAATCACAGTTGTAAAATGTTAAACAATTATCTAATGTATTTTTTTATTTTAATGGTGTGCTGAATCAGCATGGGCATTAATCATGACAATGACCACCCGTCATGTGCTGATGGTCTTCATATCATGTCTGGTGAATGGATTAAAGGACAAAATCTTGGTGATGTTTCATGGTCCCGATGTAGCAAGGAAGATTTGGAAAGATTCCTAAGGTACCAAGGTCACTTTTGTTGCGTTGTGAATGTGTACACGTGCCTGCTTCCTCTACCAACCAGGGACGGCAGAGCAGAAGGGGCTCTGGATGAGGAATCAAGGCATTTGGTTGCAATCTGGGGTCTTCTTCTGAGTCATCATGTGAATTGGGACACATTTCTTAATCCATTTGCTTCTCAGTTTCCATATGTTCAAATGACAGGATGGGCAAGATGAGTTTTAAGGGTGAAAAATTCTTATAATGGTGAAAAAATAAATCTGTCACAGTACTTAATTTCCTCTTCAGAATATCCCAGTGGAAACCTTCTCATTGCTCCTCATTCAGGGCATTTGTTATTTATCCCCAAGAAACCCTTCAATAAAAGCTACAGCTCTCCATTCTGATGCTCGTACACTCGGAATCTTTTCTCATTAATGCATAGTTTTCACAGTCCTGAATTCTCATCTGTCCCACTTCCAGCAGTGATAATAGTTTCTGTGTAGTTGGGAAGAAAAGGAAAAATATGATTATTGTACTGATTTTCATCTTAATGCCTTTGTTCCTTCCTTATTTTTTTTTGGTAATAGAAGGAGCAGCTGAAACAGTAAGTGTATGTAAAGTAGTTAGCGAGTGAGAGACGCTGGAAGTGTCCCGAAGTCTTAAGTAAGAAATACAGGGACACCTAGCTAGCTAATAATTCCCTACACAGATAAGTTTTATTCATTTCTCTATACTATTTAAATTGGTAAGCCTATTTTTACTGTTGAATGAATATTAAAATCCTGTAAAATATAATGTTTATTACGTTACCATAACTCTCTGCTCTGGTATATATTTTGTACATGCTCTTCATATTTCATGGTCCCGATGTAGCAAGGAAGATTTGGAAAGATTCCTAAGGTACCAAGGTCACTTTTGTTGCGTTGTGAATGTGTACACGTGCCTGCTTCCTCTACCAACCAGGGACGGCAGAGCAGAAGGGGCTCTGGATGAGGAATCAAGGCATTTGGTTGCAATCTGGGGTCTTCTTCTGAGTCATCATGTGAATTGGGACACATTTCTTAATCCATTTGCTTCTCAGTTTCCATATGTTCAAATGACAGGATGGGCAAGATGAGTTTTAAGGGTGAAAAATTCTTATAATGGTGAAAAAATAAATCTGTCACAGTACTTAATTTCCTCTTCAGAATATCCCAGTGGAAACCTTCTCATTGCTCCTCATTCAGGGCATTTGTTATTTATCCCCAAGAAACCCTTCAATAAAAGCTACAGCTCTCCATTCTGATGCTCGTACACTCGGAATCTTTTCTCATTAATGCATAGTTTTCACAGTCCTGAATTCTCATCTGTCCCACTTCCAGCAGTGATAATAGTTTCTGTGTAGTTGGGAAGAAAAGGAAAAATATGATTATTGTACTGATTTTCATCTTAATGCCTTTGTTCCTTCCTTATTTTTTTTTGGTAATAGAAGGAGCAGCTGAAACAGTAAGTGTATGTAAAGTAGTTAGCGAGTGAGAGACGCTGGAAGTGTCCCGAAGTCTTAAGTAAGAAATACAGGGACACCTAGCTAGCTAATAATTCCCTACACAGATAAGTTTTATTCATTTCTCTATACTATTTAAATTGGTAAGCCTATTTTTACTGTTGAATGAATATTAAAATCCTGTAAAATATAATGTTTATTACGTTACCATAACTCTCTGCTCTGGTATATATTTTGTACATGCTCTTCATATACTCTAGTACTTAATGCGTATGATATTTTGAACACATCACTTCACTGCAACAGGAGGCCCTTATGGGTTCCTAAGGAACGTGCTGATTTTGTGTGGCTGCCTCCAGATGAATCAGAACTTTTACAAAACAAATACCACTTCATAAATAGAAGTTGTATTACAATGTCAAGTTTAAAAATATCCATTCTACTGATATTCACTCATGAATACATTCCACAGATTCTTTAAATCCCTGAATATTGTTGATTGCTCACCTTCACATGTTACTCTTGGGCAAGTTCCTCTCTGAGTTTAAGCTTCTTCATCTTACCAATGTGTATTATTAATAACTACCTCACAGTGTTATGTAGATCAGTTGAGTTAATCTGTATGAAAGATCTTTATAAATCCCCAAACCTGTTAACTTTAACATTATTATTATCATTAGGGTTATCTTCAATAATTGTAAATAAATGATTCTCATATGTGGAATAATTTCTATGAGCATTCATCAGATTAGCTTATAAGTAAGAATATATTTTTAATATAAAAATGTTTCTGGTTGCTATGCTAATGAATTATAACAGCTTTTTACACTAAATTCAAAATTTTACACATATCTGCATATTGCCAGGTCAAAAGCCAGTAACTGCTTGCTACAGACAAATCCCCAGAGTGTCAATTCTGTGATGGTTCCCTCCAAGTTGCCAGAGATGACATATACTGCTGACGAGCAATGTCAGATTCTCTTTGGGTCATTGGCTTCCTTTTGTCAAGAGATGCAGGTAAGGGTTGTGTCCAGGTGGGACTTTTTAAGTGTATGTTCGCCCTCAGAGTTTAGAAGTATTGGTTGGATGAGGGAAAATGACTGTTTCAGAGTTTGTGGCTCAAAAGCACCTGAATCTTGGAAAGAAGGATTTTCTAAGAAAAGATTTCTGTATTTTTCCCTTGGCACTTTGGAAGTGATAGAAATTAGATGTGGGTATTTAATCTAAGTCAGGAAGGAATGACCCAAGAGTTTCAACTTCAGAAATGGCACTGACATCGGGGAAGTATGTGCACTATGCCAGTTCTGTGCTGGTCTTTTAAATATCCTACTTTGTTACAAGGTAGGTAACTGGGTGAAAATGTCATAAAAATGATATATGAACATATAATTGTAGAGGAGAATAGGTCTATCTTTAACCCTGAAAAGAAAATATTAAAAGTATATTCTGTAAGAACAAAAGTTGGAGAGTGCCTTTTGAAAAAAACTAGAGAAAAAGGGCAAATATGTGTTGGTAAACTAAGCAATGTTTGTATATTATTAGTCAAATGGTCTCTAATTACTCAGGGGCTAGTGGTACCAGTCTAGAAAATCTGAAGTCTGAAGGATGGAGCAAAATGACTTTCTTAACTGATGTCAGAATTTTAGCTCTGTTTTCCCTTCTCTTTTTCTTTTCTTCTCTCTGCTGCCCCTCCCTAGTTGCCCCTCTCTTCCCAATGCACACATTTCACACCCACTGTATTGCAGGAATAAACCAAGAGTCGAGCTTGGAGTGAATTGTTAGCTGCATTACACTCTGTGTAAGTTTCTGCGATCACCTTAGATCAGTCTGGCTTTGTTGAAGATGAGGCTGTTTTGGATAACTGGCAGCGTAATTAAAATCCACTATGAGAAAAAGAATATATGCTGCTGCTTCTCTGTGGTATCTGCCCAAGGAGTTGATGACCTGTTTCCTCCGGATCAGTTTCCCACATTAGTAGGTAAACTCCGGGAGGGCAGAGGATGCTTCTCCAGCATTTCGCCCAGTGGCAGGCACAAGGTTAGGCACTCAGTGAATATTTGACTTACGGATTAAAATAAGTGACTTCAGGAAAGAGTTGGAGCTGTGTTAAATGTCTTACGTGAAAGGACATGTGGACGGTAATACTGATCTGGCAGTAGTGGAGCTCTAAAAGAACTCGTGTAGGTATGTGGTTATGACCAGATTCCCAAGTAGCCACTTTGCAATCTGTCCCTGACTCCTCTCTCATCTCATTGATCAGTTTTGTTCATTCTACGCTTACCTCCAGACCTTTAGACAATCAAACACGGGGTCATCATCTTCTTTTTTAAATCTTCATGATAAAAGGTATGTTTTGAGGTACGCAGGGTTAGTTTCATGGATAGACAACTTTTATATGCTGAAATTAGCATTGTTTTGGAAACCAGAGTAGGCTCTTTATGGTTACCACTGTATTATTGTATGGGAAATAGTTTCAGTTTGTCAGTACAGAGAATTGATTAAAATGGTAAGTGGAAAATTTCACATTTGATAAAGTGCCCCAAGTGTCAGAAAAAGTCTGCAAATCATCAGCCACAAACATGATCTTGGTAAGTTTTAGATTATTCTTTGCAAACATTACTTTAAAATATGTTTAGGAATTATTTGTATATAGTCCAGTTAGTTAAATTTTCCGAGTACCATTCTGCAACGTTGTGAATGCCACATAGTATGTAAATCATTCAAATTTTCTAATTTAATTCTTAAAACACTTATATGCCATAAATTACTATTCAATCCTATTTTACAGATCAACAATTTGAGGCCTGTAGAAGTTAAATAACAGTTAAGTTCTTAAACCTATTAGGGAGTGTGTTAGATACAAAGCCAAGGAATAGAGTACATTCTAACCATTATGCCTTCCTGCCTCTTATAGAACTCACACTTCTTTATATATTCTCAGTAGGATAGAATCTTAGGTCAGATCCTGTGTTAAAACTGAATTAATTTTATCTGCTTTAGCACCTACATCATCAGGGTGAAGAATTTCATCAGGGTTAAGAAATATCTTAATTCTTTTTCTAAGCTATTTGCTCTATTCATATGGTTATTTCTCCCTAACCTACCTGCATGGATCTTTTTTCCCCCCCATTTCTGAAAGTGTAATTTTTTATTAGGGGATTTTAAATCTGTGTTTCTTGATTCCTAAGATGTTGCTTTGTTTTAAAATGGGCATTTTGCAAATAAAATTGAGTTTTAGGTTTTAGGTATTCAGAATTTGATTCAGATTTAGGTATCTCCTTTCCTCCCCCTCAAATATTTTATGTAGGACCGTTTTATTTATAAAATTGGTTTACTCTCTCTTTCTGTCTGTGTGTAATCTTTATCAAGGGGATTTAAAAATAATGCCAGGAAGAACTGGCCTGCTGTAGGCAGTCAAGGAAGGGTTTGACTCAGAACCAAGCTGGGTCAGGGTTTGGCTGGAGAGCCTGCTTGAAGAGGTGTGAAACATGGGCACCAGCAATGGTTTTGCCTCATCTGACTTATATATCCTTAGTGAAACTCTTTTTCTTTCTGAGCCACACTCTATAGAACAAGAAGTGGGACTACATCGTCTTTCAGAATCTCCTAGAGTGTCCTAGTCTGGAAAATCTGTGATTCCCAAAGAGTGCTCTGATACTGCCCTTGAAAATTAGCATTTAAATCCCAAATTAGTGTACAAATTGCAGGAACTAGATGGATGGATGAGTAGATAGAGCATTAAAGAGATTACTTAGAAATTCAGTCATTGACAAATGTTTAGTGAGTTCCAACTACTTGGTGGGCATTGTTCTACACCCTAATAATATAGCAGGAAACAGAGACCCCACCTTTAAGGAGCTTACATTTTAGTTGTGGGAAAACAGGCAAGAAGCATGTACATATATAATGTGTCAGTTGATGTTAAATGGTTTGGAGAAGTATAAACTCAGGTAAGAAGGATAGGGAGTAAAACCAGGGATTGGTGAGGATGGGGTTTATTTTATATAGGACAATCTGGGCAGGCCTCCTGGAGAAGGTGACATTTGTTTAGAGATCTGAGGGCAGTGAGTGAGCAAACCATGCATTATCTTGGGAGGAATATAGCAGGAGGAAACAGGAAGCAAAATGCCTTGGAGTGGAGTTTTGGTCATGTTTTAAGTTTAAGATGCCCAGTAGACATGAAAGTACAGATGGAAGTAGGTTTAGGGTAGATTGGTATCTGAAAGTCCTCAGCAAGTAGATGATACTAAACAAGTGATACTAAATGATAATACTAGTAAATGAGTTAGATAGAAGGAAGTTTCAGGACTAGGAAGTTGATCACCACAATATTTAAAGGTTAGGAAGATAGGAAGAAAGCAACAATTAAACCTCTGCAAGTATCTGTTGATGAGAATAGAACCAAGACTAAGATCCTGGAGGCTAAGTGAAGACATTTTTTGGAAATAATTAGTTGTTTCAAAAGCTAAAGACAAAGGGAGTAAGTGAAGTCAGAGAATATGCAAATACTTTTTTTCCACAGAATTTAGTACTATTACTTTAGCTGTCTGGAAATCCCTGAATTGTAAGTGTCAGGAGGTATGACTTAAAAATATAAGAGGAAATGGTTATAAGTGCAGAAGATTAAATAGTTCTGTTTGTGAAGCCACACACAGAAACCTTGAAGTGGATATAAATGGAGTTAACAATCTACAAATCTGACACCTTGATTTTATCTAAAACAAATCTCCTAGAAGGCAGACTCCATAACTTCAAAGGGAATTGTCAATCCTTTTTATTGCTTTTCCTCTGGCACCTAAGAGAGTGCTCAATATATACTGGTTCAGTGAGTAAGTGAATCTGTTGAATTATGGAAGAATGATTCTCAATTTTAGCTCATATAAATAGTTGATTCGTAGTTGACATATCATGGTAACATGAATATAACTTTGTAAAATATTAACTTAATGTCTACATAAAAACTAACCTGTAAGGGCAAAGAGCTTTTGTTTCACAGCTTATACGTGAGCTAATTGGGCATTCTTATGACCATCTCATTTTTAGTCATTTAGTAAATAAATATCAAGCTGCGTGAAGTGAGGATTCCTAGCAACTTTTCAATGCGTGTGTTTCTGATAGATACTGGCAGTTGGTCCATAGTACTTGAATTAGGTAGTGCTCCCATCCTTGTAAACAGATAGTCACACACAAGTACTGGCAACTCGAACACTACATACATGCTGATCTAATTAATAATATGAATTTACCCTTAGGGTAGCAACTTACTGCAAAATGTTTCATAGCATAGCTTAAATTTGCCTCAAAATCCTGACACACACCCGCACCCCACCCCCACCCCCACCAGCAATAGTAGCTACCTCTTCTGCATTAATATGGAAATTCTTGGATGGCCTTGTTCCCCAGTCCTAAGCAATTGTTACTCTGGGCCATCTGGCATCTTCTGTCTGAGTCAGCTCCAACTGCATCAAGACTGTTGCAGCTGCCTGAAATTACTTAGCCTGGGCAAGAATACAGAGGTATTCTTATGTGGATAGTTCCCTAGAAACGGTAAGAAGTGGCCTCCCAAGAGTTACATTTTTTGAATAAGAAGGAAATGTGCTAAAAAATTGAAGACATCCAGGAAACTTAAAATTCTGCCCTTGGTTTTGAAATAGGCACATGGTGAATTGCATACATACTATGTTGTGTAGAAAACTTTATAGTGTACTTGTGTTACAGGTTGAAGTCATTCTCCTCGGTTCTTGTCCCCACAGCAACAAGGAATTGAAAGGCAGAAACACAATAGCAAAGCAGAGTGAAAGTTTTATTTGAAGACACTCCAAGGAGGAGGGGGCCAGAGTCAGGTAGACAAAGGCATAAACTTTTAGGGGAGGGTCTCTTTATCAGGTCCTAACTGGGAGGCACTTCTTTGATTGACAGGGTGAGGTCTTTTGATTGACAGCTCTAGTTAGTTGTATACCCATTCCTCTTGATGCACATGTCTTTTCCCAGAATGCACACAGAAAAGCCCTGGAGGA